TCCAATATCTCTAGATTCCCCTCCTCTGCTCCACCTGACTTGCTAGGGCCACTGCCTGACATGCTTGCTGGACAAGTGCTCCACACTGGCCTCATTCTCTATGGTCTTAGATGCTTCAAACCCTCTCTTCATACAACTGGTGGAACAGCAGATGTTTCTAAAACAGAAATCAGGCCGTTCTTCTGCTTCAGACCACGCAGTAGCTCTCTGACACTCCCCGAGTGAGACCCCTGACATCCACGATGTGGCCCCACCTGTACAGCTCCTCAGGCTCTCCCTAGCAAATTCTTTTTTTTTTTTTAACTTAACCTTGGAGCTTATTTCTGAGGTCCTGTATGTAGTACAGTGATTTCAATTCCCAAACTATCCCTGGAAATTGTGTTTTTAGGTAAATGATGGTACATCCATAACATGGAATGCCATGTAGGAAATAAAAGTGATCTGGTAGAATAGCAGCAACACTACCTCAACCATTGGTGGTGCTGGGGAAAGTTAACTTTATCCTTTATGCTTTTCTGTGTTGTCAAGATATTTACAATAAGCATACATTACTTAGAGGGAATGAGCAGTTCTCCTTCTTTTAAAAATTGCTAGGCGACTGTGTTTTTGTGCGTGTGTCCCGTCCTTAAAGGCAATAGACAAGGTTCCGTCTCCAGCCCCACCATCTGCACGCTGTCCCATGGCAAGTTCCTGAAGTCCACTGAGTTGAACTTCCCTCATCTGTCTGTATCTTTACTACAGGGTCATGGAGTTCTTTTGGTGAGTGTGTGAATATCACATAACTCGGGTTACGTCACAAATTTAATGGGATATTTTTAAATGTTAAATCATTGCTGCCCTGCCATACTTTCTTCTCTCTGCTGCCTTTCCCTCACCCTCAGTCGGCTTTCTGTGGGCTGCTCTGGGCTGTGGGAGACGGGCAGGCAGGGCCGGTGAGAGGACACAGCCCCCAGAACAAAGACTGGCCCGACTTTGAGTGTATGATCGAGGCCCTGAAATTCTGACTTTCACTTGCAAGGCGAGGCCCAGGAGGGAGAAGTGTTTTTCTGTCCTGCATGCATCCGCTGACTACAGAGACCAATCTGTCAGGTCAGGCTAGCATAGAGCTGCCCAGCTGACCCAGAGAATCCTCAGAAATTTTATTTTATTTATTTTAAAAATATTTTTAGTTGTGCATTTTTAGAGAGAAGGGAAGAGAGGGAGGGAAACATTGATGTGCAAGAGAAACATGGATCAGTTGCTTTGCTCAAGCCCGCAACCCAGGACTTGGCCCACAACCTAGGCGTGTGTCCTGACCAGGGATTAAACCAGTAACCTTTTGGCTTGCAGGCTGGCACTCAATCCACTGAGTCACACCAGCTGGGAGAAATTTTAAAAAGTGATAGTTACTTTGGGCCACTGAGTTTTAGGGTCACTCATCACTGAGCAACAAATAACACATGAGACTTCTTGTTTCTTTTAATATATAATTTTCTTTACAAAGGCTGCAGGAGTAGTGATGAATTTCTGATATTTACATAGTTTTGTTCTGATTTTAAATATAACCTTTAAAATTACATTGTATAAATGTTTGTTGTCAATGTATAGGATGCAATTGATTTTTGGACTTTGAACCCTGCTAAATCTGTGAAGTCTAACACTTTGTGTTTATGTTCTCTTGGGCTTTCTCTGCAGAAAGTCATTATTTGCAGTGTGACCCATGTGTAAGTCATCAATATCTACTGCATTAGATGAGGTGCAGAATGACAGCCTCAAACAGAGCTGCCAAGTCGGCTCAGACTGCTGAGCAAGTGTCCTCTCGCCTGCATCTGCTCGAGGGTTTGCAGGGCAACTGGGCAATGGCCAGAAGGTCAGGCAATGACGTGGGGACTCCCACTGTCCCCTTCCACAGCTCATTTTCAGTGCGGGGAGCATTTCGGCTTCTTCTACTGGCCAGCAGTTTGGGGAGTGGCCCTGATGCTGTCACATAACTGATTTGCTTCTTTCACCTGTGCTTCTCTCTCTGTCATCCTGTTCACTCTGGTTTCCTTTGCTGCCCTCTTAATTCCCTATCTCTCTCTCTGTCTCTCCCCTACTCTGTCTCTCTCCATCCCTCCCTCTCTTCCTGCCCCACCTTGTCCCACATTAATTCCCTCTTCCCTGTTTCTTCCCGTTCTTGGCCTAACAAGGCACTCAAACAGAAAATGAAATGGCAACTTCAAATCATTGTTCCAAATCACATCTGCAATGTGCCCAATCCCACCTAATGCCACAGATTGGCAGGGATTTGCCACCAGAGAAAGCCAGACAAAATCTCCCTAAAGATGATTATGGGCCCCCAGCTCCCCCCTCCTGGAAGGTCCCCAGGTTCCCATGACAGCAGCAGAGGACAGAGGTGTCACCAGAAAAATGGCTCAAAGTCCAAAGCCCTAAAAAAACCAAGGCTTCCACTTCTCTGTGACATCTGTGCCTGGAGTACACAGATCCAAGGAGCTGGGATAAGCCAGGCACCTGGAGGGAGAAGAGGCTCAGAGGGTTGCTCTAAAGTCCCTAGAGTTCTTACAATTAAATGAAGCTTTTATCTGTGCCTGGTGACCTGATCTCGGCCTGCCCTCCTAATCTCCGCTTTCTTTTTTTTCCACCACAGAACCCCCTGAAAGTCTCCAGGAGCACAGAGTTCCGCAAGGTTCCTCCATGGACCACGATCTCCCACCTGCGCACTTCCTGCAGCTTCCTGGATTGGAAGCCAGCCCCACCCTCCCCACCTCTCCCGCACCTAATCTCCAGCCCCACCAGGATGACACCTAGCTTTCCACAAGGCTTCTGTAGACACCCCTTTGCCTTGCACACTTCCTTAGTACAAACGGTGCTCGACTGGGGTTTACGGAAATGACTCAGTCACCTCGTTGTCACCAGAAGCAGCAGGAGCTGGGACGACAGGCGGCCCTGACAGTAGAAGTGTAGTTCAGCGGGGAGTGGGGTTGTGGGGAGACGCGGCTTTGTGCTCAGCACGGCACACCCCAGCAGCCTGCCACCTTAGGATGCCCCCCTGGAGCCGTTCTGTCCAGATTTATAGTCTCCTCTCTCCCTCGCTGGCTCTTTCACTCTCTCCCGTATGAAGGAAGACAACAAACCACTCATACGTGCAGAGTTATCGGGCTGACTGTTCCCCAAGGATGCTAATCCTATTGCCCATAGCCAAAGGAATGGAATCTTCTCTAAGGAATGGGAAACTGGGGGGTGGGAGGCTCTTGGCAAAAGTCCAGAAAGAGGTATTTTATCCAAATGGCTCATCATTCGCCCAAGTCCAATAAAGAAATCACGTGGAATACAGAAAGGTAAGAACACTGTTCTCTCTACGTTATTCCTTGGAGTAATGGCACCTTCTTAAAATGCTGATGTCAGAGGATTGAAATCACTGAAACCTACAAGGTAATCACAAAACAAGGAGAGAAGGGCCCCAGGCTGCATAGACCGTGTGGATGGCTCCATACAACACCGTCCCTGCCACAATGAACAGCTGTCTAAACAACTGTCACAGGTATGCAGCCCCTGGGATCAGCATGAAAAAATACAGGTTCCACCCTAAAAAATTCAGTCTAGTGGAGCAAATATGGTATCAGTAAACAGTGGGAACCGCTAGATTTGTTAATCCTTTTAACTTCAAGAGTCAAAGGAGTCCCTTGCATAGAAGAGCAGCCATAAGGAGGTGGAAATCCAGGTAACTGTCGCTCAGAGGAATTACGAAGATTAGCAATATCCACTGTAAATCAGTAATATCAGATACTATTAAGTAGAGGGCTGGTACATGCCGACCCCAGGACGTGAGAGTGGGGGGTGGAGGGACGCACCCAGCAGACTTCTCTGGCATGAGACGCTCACTCTCTTCAACTAGGTTACTAGAAAATGAATTTACCTCGAGTTCACACAGATGAGTAGGTAGGGAGGGGACATCCATCTGGACTTAAACAAATCAAAATAAACAAACGAAAGCCCCAGAGAAGACCCCCCCAAAAAAGAGCCAGTAGCCTGGGACATTTTTTGGATGTGACAGATTCAGGAAGCTGGGTCCCAGCCTCGGTTTCTGGGAAAACAGGGCTGAATCCAAGGCCCCCCAAATGCAGGCGTGTTAATTATACATCACAAAACAGAGGTGCCCTGTTTTTAATCATTTATCAAACACGTTAAGAGGAAATGGAACGTTAGCAGTGAGCTTCTTAAAGTGTAATTTCCTATAAGAGAAATTTATGGCCTGAACTTGATCTCCATTAGAGTACATCTCACTTCTTTTATTAGTTTATTCATCAAGGCAGCCCTAGGTTCAGGCCAGCTCCACACACCCACGGGTCATCAAAACAGGGATCTCCAGGGGATTTTTCCCGCTGGTCCAGTAGAGTTTTCCAGATCATAACACAGTCGACAGAAGCAGTCATGGTGCGTTCGGCAGGAGGCTTTTCGGTATTCCCCAAAAGGCAATTCACAGAGCAAGCCCCAGGGGCTACACTGGCTATAAAGTGAACATCTAAAATGTACTTCGAAATGAAATGATTTTCTGTTTGCCATATGAGGTTTGTGATTGCCTCTCAAAAAGCATTGCTTCTATTGCTTTTACAGCCAGGTTCAATTTCTTATTTAGTGATGTAATAAAGGAGTGATTTAGAACTGAGAGCAAGGACTTCCGAATCAATGAGCAGATGTATCCCTCATCTGCTGTGCACCTCTCCCCAGGACGCTGAGCTCATTTCCTGATTTCCAGGCAACGCGCATAGTCCCCCAAACTGGGGACACGGGCACAGCTGTTATCTCTCTTTACCACAGAGTCCCCAGCCCTGCCAAAGAGAGAGCCCCAATCCTGCTCTGGATTTTTTTTTTTTTTTTTCAGATCTCTGGGGTGCATCACTCTTTCTGTGAATAATGGAACTTTAACTTTATTGTGATGAAAGTGAAACACACCTAATATTTACAAATTGGCACTGGGACCGGAATGAGAGAAAGAAAAAGAGAGAGAAAGAACATCCTACCTTGTTTTAAGGATATTCAGAAACTGCAAAATCTCTGAAAACTGGATCAGTCTGAGGGCTCTTAAAAATCTCAAACCTGGAAAGAAAAATGAAAAAGAGACGCATTATTTTCAGTGTGTGGTGTTAATGTCTGCACTCTGGTGTGTGATTTACAGCTGCCGGGGTTGAAGGAAGATGGAGTTCTCGTAGAAGATGAAACCATCAGTACCTGGCACATAGTCCTTCATCCTGATTCTCCACTGGTTTAAGCTCAGCTGCTAAGCTGAATCTCATCAGAGGAAGCCTGTCTGGAGCCACAGTGAAGGAAGGTCTGGTGGGGACAGCCCTCTTGAACGAGGCCTCTCCTGTGTCTATCTCCAATCTAACCCACTAAAAAGTTACCTCCTGTTCTGAGAGGATTTGTCTCTGAAAATTACTGGGAATAGCTCAGGGTAACCTTTATGCTAAGAGAAGATTAGGAACAAGTCGGATAATCTGAGGTCTTGGATGGATTTATAAAATCTTATCTTCAGTCCTGATTAAATGAAGAGCAGGGCCCACAGCCCGACAGCATTATTTATTTTCTAAATTCTCACACCCATAACTTCAGGACTCAAAATTTGCATAATCCCACTTTCACAAAGTGTCCACATAAATGTTTCTCTTTTCTAAATCAGCAACCTCTCTTGAATGGAGAACAAGAGCCAGTGTCTCTAGGTGGCAGAAGAGAGAGTAAGACGGAGACAAAAAACACACAAGCAAGGATCAAAGATAATTCAGATGACTGCTGTGCTTTAATAGCCAAAATCTGTTTCTGTCGATAGCAAATCTGTGAGTGGTAAAACACCCTGAGTCACTCATGGGACTTAACGCTGGGCTGCTGTGCCACAGACTTGCTCACCAATGACTGCAGCTTCAAGACACTTTGGATATCATGTCCGCTCTCAAAGGGATTTCCTTTTGCAGATTTTCCTAAAGCATTTTGCTCAGTGTCCCATGTGCTGTGGGCTGCTGAGCCCCAGTGGGCTAAGCTGTTGACAGTAGCCAGACTATTCTGACCCCGTATGTGAGGGGTCATCTAATGCATAATGGTGGGAAGCAGTGGTGGCAATTTGCTAGACATCCCAGGATGAATCGAGGGAAGCAGGCAGACCAGATGTTTCCCTAAACAGCTCCACATCAGGCCCCGTCAGGTTACTCCTTGTTCAAGCCTAAGGTACAGGGAGAGCTCATTTAAAGCCCGCAGGGCAGGGAGGGATGGCACTGCACAGGGAGGGAAGGAAGGATAATGGCTCAAAAGGGAAATTTCTCTCTGAACAGGATTTACCTTCATGAACCAAAAGTGCTCTTCAGAAAACATGTGCCTTCTATTTTAAATGATGTTTATGTTACTTTTATTAAAATAGAAAGTGTAGCGATGAGAAAGGATGTTGATGAAATGAAAAGATCCGAGAGTCCAAAACAGAGTCCTAGCCCAAATGATGAAAGGCTGACTTACACCGCTGAAAACCAGCCTTGATGGAGGGGACGAAACTGAGACATCATCTCAGAAAACAGAAAGTACAGAAAAGGGACAGAAAAAAAGAGGACGCTTAAGAAAATGTAAAAGGAGAGAAAATCACAAAGCTCCAGCCTATGAATAAAATGTGTTGCAAAGGGAGGTACCGATGAGACCACAAGTACAGCCAGGACATACTAGGAATGAACTTGCTAGATACGAAAAAGTGACTCGAGAGTAAAAGGTAAAATGGACGGCCAGCGCTTAGAAACCAATGCCATGAAGCATACGGCTTTTCTTCCTGTAAGCATCAAGTATTAAACTTAAAAATAAAAATAAAGTGTCAGGGTAGGGAGAGAGTTACCACTAATGCAACTAACATCACATGCCAGTCAGTGTAACAGTGAGTTCTGCAGGACAGCTGAGCAGCAACACTTGGAATGTTAGGACAAGGAGAGTCAGGCCCAGATCTGTGTGCCCAGCCAGGTGGTTGTTCCACAGCAAAGAAGGCAAAAAATATCTTCCAATATCCAAGGTCGCAGAAAATACACTGTTTGTGCAAAAGTGTTTTCAAAGACCTTTGCAGGTCTTATTCAATCCGAATGAGTGGCAGGGGCTGGAAAGTATATGCTGAACAAATTCTACTGTTGGTCCTAAGCATTGACGGAGAGGGCTGACCTCACTCCAGCGCCACTGTCACACGCTGTGGGAGACAGAGCAGCACACATAGGAACCCGGGCAGAGACAGACTGGCAACACTGAAGCCAGCCGTCAGGGACACGAGGATTCTCTAGTAATGGCTTCATCCTGAAAATCCAGTGTGTGCGTGTGTGTGTGTGTGTATGTGTGTGTGTGTATACACATAGGTATGTATATTTCTTTTTCACTTATGGAAACAAAAAGCAGAATGCAAATGACCTAAACTTCAAGCTGTATTTCCTTCTTTTTATCTTTAAGTAATGTTGCTTGCATCCTTATATCATTTGTTTGTAGCTCACCACTCTTTAAAGTGACTCATAAACTTAACACAGAACAAAAGCTTCTCTTATAATCGAGGTATATGAAAATAAGGGTAGGAAAAAAATGGATGCAGCAGCCACAGGTCCTGCACTCTTGCTAGAGGTAAACCACAGTCTATCTCTGAGCAGCTTTCTGACAAAAGAAGGCAGGAAGACACAGTAAGTTAATAATGTACGACAGAGAAAAACAAGCTGGCTCTCAGGAGAACAGTCATCCCAGGGTGGAAACCGAGGGAAATGCCCCTGCAACAGGGACCCAGTGATGCAGAAGCAGCATTCTCATGGGTGGAACAATGGCGAGCTCCGTTTATCTGACAGCCTTGTGCTGGTCCTTCTCGTGGCTTTGGGTTTCACGAACACGATGAGTTAACAAAGTTCGACATGGGTTAAAAAATCAGTCTACGTTTATCTGGGGATCATGCCAGACTATCTAGAGAAATGGTGGTCTGAAGCATACATCCTTCAGGCCAGAGTTCACAACAGCTCCCTAACTGCTTTCTGCCCTGGACCCATTATGGTCTATTTTCAGCACAGCGGCTAGAGTGGGCCTGTTAAAAGGTAAAACGGATCCTGTCACTCTTCTGCTCAGAGTCCTCTAATGCTCCCATTTCATTCAAAGTCAAAGTCCTTCAAGGACCGAAAGCAAGGCCACCCTCGTGTCCTTTCGGCCTCCTCCTCCTCCTCGTACTACTTTCCCTTGGATCTGTCTTTCTTCAGTGATCTGGACTGGGAAGGCATGCTCCTGCCTCAGGGCCTTTGCACACGCCATTCTCTCTGCCTGCACACTCTGGCCCAGATGTCCACATGCTTCCCTAGCCTCACCTCCTTCAGGTATTTACGCAGTGTCACTGTCTCAGTGAGACGTTCCCTGGTTATTCTATCCAAAACTGAAAGTCTGCCTTCACTCTGCCCCTGTCAGAGTAGGCGGCTAGTTATTAATGAAAGAGAAGGGAGCAAACTAAGCCTCATTAACTTAGGAAACAGCAGCCTCACAGTCACCCCAGCATCTTTCTGTACAACATCCTGCTTTACATCCACCCTGAGGGGGAGCTGGTGTCAGCCAGCTGGGTTAACGGGGGAGGGATGAGCGCCCCGAAGGGAAATTCCATTTTACTAAGCGCCTATGCAGTAGAAGGCACAATGGAGACTGTGAAAGGGGGAGGCACTAGCCTGGGAAAGTCTGGGGAAAGGATCAGACTGGAGAGGCCCTGGACAATCCAGGAAAGAGACTGCCTAGTTTGAAAGTAGGCCTGCTCTTTCGCAAACCCACGGAAATATATGGGGACATAGCCTGCCTGCTCTCTGTCCCTCTCTGAGAATGTACTGTCACTTGTCACCCTTCACTCTAAATAAACCCTCCTCCTGCGTGAGTGTCCCTGAAATTCTTTTTCCACGACACCACAAGAGTCCATTTCCTCCGATAACACCCCCGTTTTTTTATTTCCCTTGCCTGCTTTTCTTTTCTCCTCAGTATAAAGCACATGCATCTTATTTATGTAATTTGCTTTCTTTCTACTTAGCTACCCCATCAGTTCTGTGAGGGGAAGGACTCACATTTGTTTTGCTCATGGCCGTATTTGATAGACCTAAGTTAGTGCCTGGCATAAGGTGGATGCCCAATAAACACCTGCTCGAACTGAAGGAATACATCAGACTTGAGAATGAATTAGATAACAGAGAACTAAAGGTCAGATACTGTGCACTGGGAACTACATAGTACTTACTGAAGGGAAAAGCCAAGAGCTCTGAGGTCAGGGCCAACGCTCTTAGGAAATACAAAGCAGCCCCACCGGAGAGCTGCCTTAACCACTGCTCACTCTGCTGTCCCCAGAGAGGGCCCAGAGGAGTACAGACAGCAACTCAGATTAAGTAAAGGAGGCCAAGACAAGAGAGCGGTAGGATGGTCAGTGCCTAAGTAACAAAGTATTCATCTTCTCTGCTTTATAATCCTATATTCTTATTACTTACCCCATATAATTCAACATAGCTGTAATAAAATGACCTTCTAGGGAAATAGAAAATGGCCATAACAGATTTGTCAACAAAATGTGTACGTACCAGAAAAACATGAATTATGCCCTTCCCCAAAAGGTACCAGGTCCAGATGGTTTTATAAGTGAGTTCTTCCAAACTATCAAGAAATAGTAAATTTCCCCAGTCTTTGATTCTATAGTCAATTTTTATGACAGAGTAATAAAAACCTTTCTTTTTTTCCATACTCCGTATTGGTTTAGAAAGCTGGCATTGGCTGAACACAGGTTGTCCACACATTCAAAGAAAAAGGCATGCTCAGTACACTAATGACTAAATATAAGAATCCCAAATAAAATACCAGCATATCAGATCACACGCAAGAACATATTAGATGAGTAACACTCAGGAACTGTGGTGGAGGGTGTGGAGAGCAATCCAGATCCCTTCTGCAGGTATCTTTACCTGTCCCAGCTCTTAAAGAGTGGTCTAGCCCAAGGGTGCACCCCGGCCGGAGTTGGCTCACAAAACTCGTAACGTGGGGACAAAGTCCTGCTGCCTTGTCTCAACTTTTAGGACAGCTCTGAAGGGCCACCCAGCTGCAGAGTT